ACGGTCATTACGAGTATGGAAGCAGACAAGGTCGTTTCTGTGCAGTTCGACTTCGGCACAATGTATGCCTTTATACGCTACCACTACACCTCGCTTATACTCTTGCAAAATTTGTTCTGCGAAGCATGCCTTCTAACTGTCAAAAAAAAAAAAAAAAAAAATTCAAGTAGTTGATGGTTTGTACAAAATCAGAATGGATTATGCCAAATCAAGCTTTGAGTTCGAGAACTCCTGTGTAGACCAGTCAGTGACACTGCTCTCTGAACCCGCCAGCAGTATAAAACCCCTCTTCTGATGTAAGCAATCTCGCCCGAAATTCCTGAGATATGCTGCATGCACAATAAAAACATCGATATACGTAATCTCAGAATCTGCGGTCAACTTTTCTTGTGCCTCCTTATACAGATGCTGCTTAACCGCTGCTGGGAATTCCTGACTTAATAGACCATTTATTTTCAAGTCAGCAATAGAGGGAAAGGGCCTACGACATACGGAAAGTCGAATTTCATTCATAGACTAGTGAAGCGGGGAAGAAAAGGAAAGCTCCACCAGGTGCGCTTGTTCATTTATTTAGTCACTGTGATCACCCTAATAGCTCCTATTGTTTTTAATCATCGCAATCATCCAACAGCACTGATTTCGGATTTCTGTGATACTGCAAGATATCTTCGAACCAGCCTATGCATTTCTCCGCAACTGCAGCTTTAATAGTTTCTGCATCTTCTCCAAAACTACCCACTTTCTGCTTGATATAAGACTCGACCAAAGGGCCGAGGAACGGCAATGCAAATACCACTGCGAACGGAAATATTCGAACATAGCTTTTTTTGAGCTGCAAAAACTGTTTTCGATTCTTCGCATCCTTCTTCATTTTCTTCTCAGTGTTATTTTCGTCTCTCTCCTTTTTCAAAATAACAATAAAGAATAAAGGCTACGAGAGGGATGTCAGGAATGATAGCATTTTCAGTGGCTACATAACAAACGACGATAAGCAGAGTATAAAGATGGTGTTTTTAATTCGAGAGTGAAAAAAATATACCTGATACAGTGTGAACGGCGGCGTGTGGCCAAGTTTGCAGGCTAACAAATTATAATAAATTTCAAGATGTCGGCGCCAAAATTTCCGCCGCTCAGATGCGCTTAGTGTGAAAGCCATCAGAAGGGCAAGATCTTCCGCTGCACAGCCTTGGTGGCAGACCTGAAAGGCTGCTCATCACAAACATTTACCTGGGTAGCGACGCACCAGATGGTGCGCTCGTGCATTTTTGCATTGAACTTGCAGCAGTCAGATCGTTAAGGTAAGAATGCTTCCAGCGTTATTGTTAAACACGTGGATTCATGCTGGCAGTGCTTTGGTCTATTCCTATATAGAAGGGGAAAGGGCATCGGCTGGGATGGTAGTGTTGCA